AGGGCCCAAGGCTGGACAGGACATAACCTTGCGCGTCTATATATTTTTACATATGCGCAAATCATACATTTATAGAAACAACGAGACGCTTGGGTGAGGTGGGCCATATTTGCACTTAAACCTTTTCATACAAGGAGAGAGCTTTTATACGCAAACAACTTGAGGGCCGTTGTAAAGGGGGGGCCTTTGTGGCGGACACGGTTGTGAAGGTGCGTTTTGTACAAGGATCTTTTAGGGGAACATCAGGTTCATGTGAAGGGTCAAGTTGGTTGTTTGAAGAAAAGTGCACATCCGAGTCAGAAGATGTTTGACAAGGATATGTGTTTCGAGAAAGCAAAGGAGGAGTTCCTGAGTGACGAGAAACCCATGTCATGAGAATCGTTCAAGGAAACAAACATCTGAAAAAATAAATGAAGGACAATTTGAACCCAATGTTTTTTCTATTCAAACAACATACATATTTCATATATCATATATATATAAATATCGATAGACAGATACATAGAACGATCGATAGATAGACAGATATACAGTACTCTTTAAAAGGTTTTAGGGATTCGCCCTCTGAAACATATTGGACACCATTTCTATCCACTGGGAACTTATACATATATATATATACACATTTATTAAAGGGATTGCTGATGAATAGTAGCGACCGTCAATGCTTGGAATTTATGGACCGGTACTTCTGCCGCGATTGGTTGACTTCTCAGGACAATCCGGCCAACAAGGTCCCAAAGACACCCTGGAATAAGGAACATCCATTGATCGGGGGTCTCCCTATCACGAATTCATACATAGGTTGCGTGAGTTGCTTAAAGACTTCACTACGACAGGAGGCGGCCGTTCAGCAACTCCACTCAGAGGTGCAGGTGCAGTTGCTAGGCAGGGGCCGACAAAAAAGGTTCGTGGCCGAAAGACGTCATTTCAATGAAGATCCCGGAAACACTGCTTTGCAGGGAAGCAAGAGACATACACACAAAACCATGTATGGTACTGTAGACTTCGCAGGGGCATAGCGGCATACTTCACTGTTGCTGTTGGTTGCCGGCGGATTGATTGACACTTGGACCGGTTTTTGAGACCGCGTCCAGTTGGTGTCACGGATTTGGGGTCGGGGGGTGTGAACACGTCTGTTGAGGCCATTCGTTGGGAGCGGCCGCTGCTGCGCAGCTGCTGGGACAGCGGGCCAGGAAGTGAACTGGGAACAGGGACCTGCCCAGAAAGCCACAGAGAAACTGGTAGACCACCACTGTTAAAAGGCACATCATTTTCCATACCGGACCATTCTGGCAGTTTCCACAGATGCTTAGGACACTTGAATCAATGTTTAGCCAAGATGCCAAGATGTGCAGGTGCTTTCAATCCAACCCGTGCACAACAGGGGCAGTACTTTACTTCCCGACATCACACGATGCCTTTGTTGGCTCCGCTCCGGACATCACGCGACGACAACGACACGACAAACTCCCCGTGGCCCACTGCGCGTGGCTGCGACGTTTTGACCCAACTCCACTTGGTCAGACCCGGTCGTGGCCCACTGAGGGCCTGAAGGATGAAAGTCAGGAGGGCAATGCTTTCTTTATCACTTGTTGTTCTACTTGGTAATGCCTGGAACGAGATGGAACAGTGGCCAATGGTTGGGTCAAGGCAGCATTGTGAGTTTTTCACGCGGCCCACAGTGCTTCTCAATCAGCCAGCCAGCTGGCCGGCGAGCCAAAAACCACAGCTGGGCCCGTAGCTACACAGCCAGCCCCTACCTTTCTCGTGATTACCATAACCATAATTACCATTACTACTGCTGCTGCCGCTGCTACCAAAGGCGGACAAATCCATTTTTCAGAAAAGGAGGTACCTTTAAGCTCCAATCCCTGGAAGCGACCATTGACACCATCGGTCTATCCAAGAGTACCCGACTCCCCATTCCGGTCCGTGAACTTCACCTCCCACGGGCCACCGGTCTCCGTTTCGCCTCTCCAATTCTTCCGACCGGGTTCCCACCCGTCCCTCCATGCCGTGGCGGTCACCGCCGCCCGACCGGGCTCGGGTGGACCGGCCGTCCGAGGCTGGCGGCGGACTGGCCCTCGGCGCCAGGCAGCCGCAGCGGGCGAACGGACGGGGAGCGGCAGCTACGAACGGAGCCAAGCGCGACGCAACGGAGCGAAACGGGACGGGCATCGCTGGGTGACGGGAGCGATCGGACGCTGCGAATTGGGGGCGAACTGGCATAGCCTATGGAGACATTCCCCGTACTGCCTGTACTCAAACTCGAACGGCTCAGTCTTCTCGATTCCCAAGTGGTTGTACGTTTTTAAATGTGGGGATTGGCCATCAACAGTCTTGGGGATTTGGGCCCAGAGTTCTTGGGAGGTAAAACCCTAAACGAAAGGATGTTCTCGTATGATCTCATAGGTTCTCTTTCAGAATGGAGTTCTGGATTGATCGATCGATCTTCTCGCTGCAGGTCTTCTTGTGCTTTCGGCGCCCTTCATCGATATTCCTCACATGGCAGTGCAATTGCTGAGTGTTGTGCCGGCAACCCAGAGCCTAGCTGCTGGAGGGGCTTCGGTTGCTTTCAGAAAGCTCTTTGATATATATATATATCATTACATACTGTATATGGCACATAATATATATATATATGTGATATATATATATATATGTGATATATATATATACATACATACACACAAAGCCCGCCGCACCATTGCTTCACAGCCACTTCTTTAGCTCAGGAACCAGACGGACACTTCTTGGCATGTCCTGTGCAACGGAACCCATTTCACATTTTTGGACACCAATCATTGAATCATAGATCCTATCTCAATCTTACGACATACCTACAAAGGTATCTGGCAGTATCTATACTATATATATATATATATTATATGCACATATGTATGTATCCTGTCCGCATTTCAATCTTTGAAGAGACGGGTCATTGAAAGCTGACCATAAGGCTTTCAAAAGGCCTCCCACACCTCTATGGACTCGTGGTCGATGCCTTGCCCTTCCAGGTGCAGGGGGGATTTTCATCACGAGTCGTGGTGTGAGGGCGAAGAGCAGTTTCCAAAAGGCTGCATACACACTTGAGCAAGGTACAGATCTAATAGAATCTAACAGATCATCTCATGGCTTCAACATCAAACTATGCAACATTCAATACACTTCGGCGAGGCATTTAGAGGTGCTTGTTTCCAGGTAGCCGGTTGGCTATCGAACGGTACTGGCTGAGGTTGTTGCAATGGCTTAGGGGACTCTAAAGGTTTTCCAAGGCCTTTTTGACAGTTTGCATGTTGAAGAAAGAGGGTCTTTTGGTGAGTCTTGATCCATCTTCCACAGTCTTGCCTGCTTGTCATCTTGACCGGACAACATGGACTGGTCGTTGGAACACCCCACGGACCTGCGGCCTCCGTGGCCTCGGTCCGACCTCCGTCGGCGTGACTACGGCGCCTTGCTCGTCGGCGCGGCAACACGGCGGGAGCCCTGCGGTTTTGACGCCTTTTCTTCGGTTTTGAGACGGTCTTCTAGATGTGCAACCATGACAGGTGCAGACGTTGGAGAAGTACTTGCCATCTTCTAGATGGATGGCATCAGTGGGGCAAAGGCGGAGACGTTTCTGGAGCCGGGGGTCTTCAAGACACAAGACTCACAAGAACCAGAGGCTCATCGACTATAGATTTTGTTGCATCGGTTGTTGGGCCGGTCTCCCTATTCTAAAGATTCTAATGCACACCTATACCTGGAGGTTTGATTTGAATTCCGAGTAGCAGATCATATGTTCAATGCACATAGAGATTGATCGTCACAACCCTCACGACCCTCATATATCTCATGTAATCTTGTATGGTAAAGCAAACAGACATTTCACAAAGTCCTTTTCTTGCGGTTCCTTCCAATAAATGTTTCAACTCCAGTTTCATGTGTTAACTTGTGCCAAAGCCTGATTGGTTGAACTTTCAGTTTGGACAAACCCATCCTCAAAGCACTTGGACCCTAAGGGTATGTTTGATTTTTCATCAGATAGCTATGGAGTTCTTACTTCAAATAAGAATGAGCTGGCTGTGCGCGGTTCGGGACAGGGCGTTGGTGCTGTTGCCGGTGGTAGTGCTGAATGCTGGTGCCGTGAGCTGGCTGTGGGACCTTCCCACCCATAGCAAACTTTTGCTGCAATGCTCGTTGTGTACACTTGTGCTCAAGGCAAGCCTTCTTTGCGCATGGCCCCCCACCACGGTTCATGTCGTGGCCAAGCTGCCAAGGTGGAGCCTCCATTTTCAGCAGATTCAGTACCTCCACTAGTCTGTGTGTGTGTGTGTAGCCCTTGGAATCATGGGGAGCCTTTTGGTTTGACTTTCTTCAGTTTTTCATTACAGCAACGGGCAGCAGGGAGTCCACACTTCTGCTGCCAACGAAGGCAGCTGTGGACACTCCGTGAAGCGGATTGGGACGCCAACCCGTAACTTTGACCAAATGTTTAGACCGCCTTGCATACTACTTCGTTTACTCAGACCAGTTTTTTCACTTACGTCTTTGGGCGGTGGCGAAACCAAATCGTACGTACTTCATCTTGAATTTTGAGTGTGTCTGAGGGTCAAGCTCCGTGCTGATATGTGGCCTGGTCGGCCAGACGTACCTGCCGTGATTTTACCTTCAACTTCCCAATGGCCCCTGGTCTATAACTGGGACAGGAGTTTTAATTTGGAACTTCAGGATTACAGGCCTGCGGCCTTTGGAGACTCATGTTTAGACCACTGTATATACATACATTCAACCCTGTTTCTTTAGGCTTTTCCCTTAGCTTGCACGTGGCATGGGGCTTTCATTTCGTACGCATCATGTCCCGAGTGTGTGTTTGTGTGTGTGTGTGTGCGCGTCTGTGTGTCTTTCTCTCTGTGCCTGTGTGTCTCTATGTGTCTGATTGGCGTTTTCTTGGGCCCACTCACAGTCACTGGAAGCTGTCATGGATCTTTTTATGACTTACTTGATAGCGTTAAATGCTGCTTGGGGCCTATGCCGGTGCAATTTGTCTCAGGTACTTCTGTTTGTTTTCAGAGTTGGTTGCAATCTGGGGTCGATGCCGGTGTAGTTTTAGAATTCCAGTGAGAGCGGGTTTGGACAAACACGTCCTCAAAGTACACTTAGCCCTTAAAGGTAGTGTTGATTTTGAAGACTATTTTTAGCCTTCATAAAGTTTGATTGCCCCGGGACTCCCTGAGCACCAAACATCTATTTAATATTCATGACTCATTTCTGGTTTCAATGTGCAAAAGATTAAGGGCATTGTTCTTGAAGTACATGGCATTTCCCAACAAGCAACCAAATAACTTAAACATTTTTTGGGAGTAACTTTTGCATTTTACAACTTCCAGATATAGATCATTGCAGGCAGATTTGTTCGACGCATAGCGGGTGTTCTTCCCTCTTATCGTGTGGGCGTAGCATATGACATATGTATATTTGATAGTCATAAATGAGTCATAAATATGGTATGGTTATTTCAACCCGACCAGCCCTCGATTGCAGGCTGAAACCATGGATCGTCCTTCTACTGTTGCGGCCCTGGCTAGGGTTGGCCTTTCCCCCAAACCAATTCAAATACCTGCCGCTTTGAGGGGATGTGCCCGCCCATGTGAGCCTGTGGCGACATGCTTACAGTTTGGATTGGATCAACAAAGCCTAGGTGGTTGATTGAACTGCTTCATCGAAGCGTCCGATGACCTGATCAAACAGCTCAAGTCTTTTGATCAGTTGCATGACTGGAGTGTGATCTGCCGTAAGGTGGCCTGTGGTGCCGCATCTGTGGGACAACAGCAAGTCTGTGGGAAAGGCGGCCAAGGCGAATCCCGATGTCGCACGGATGTCGCTGGATAGGTGAGATGTGGAGAACCCACGGTTCTTTGACTCGGATTTTGCTGAATTGGCCACCGGATGTTGGTCAAATTCGTGCCCTGAACAAGAGTGAGAAGGGACATCCAAGAGGGTGAGTTGTTCCGAGGGTACAGTCAGTGGGCGTTGTTCCAAGCTGGTCAAATGGTCCGGAGATTCGCCAGACACCTAGCTTGACAGGCTGGATGGCAAATCCATGTTCTGCACGGCGCACAGGAGAGAGGGGTGGGTTCGCCAGTCAGAACTTCCCGAACAGAACCCAGCTTCCCCAAATGTCAAGGATTCAGACTCGTATGCAAACGGCAGCCACGCTTTGCTCCAAGATCACATACTGTAGTTGGCTCTTGAAAAGAAACACAGCACAGCCGAGTCGCACACCAGGATGACCTGATCCCGTCGCACATGGGCCAGACGCTGGCCAACTTGTCCCAAAAGGCCAGTGGGATCAGTGGGCTCGTTGGGTCCTTGCTACTTTGGGTAGTGGCAGTGTCCTGACTTTCTCCAAAGATGGTACCTTCCAGAGAAGAAGGATCCTCACAGATGATTTCCTTCCAGAGAAGTTTGAGGTTTGCACAACTGCCCAGATGAGACCTCATGGGTGGACAACACCTGTCCCAATGTCATCGCGAAACTCCACATGAAGATGCCTCAGGGCCATGTGTGTACATCTTCCTTTCGGCGCTCGCAGGAAGCGCAGAAGGTCCGCGAGGATGCCTTCAGCGAAATTCCGCGCGCAGGCGCTACGAACCGTGCCATTGGAACCACTTGGGGCGGTCAGAATCACCAAAAACCATCACTAACCTTTGGTACCTAGCATTCCTGTGGTAATGGGAAAGGTACTGTAGTTGAAAACGAAGTGATTGAGCGTTTGGGGTCCCTAGATTGGACACAGACTCATTAGAGTAACTCATGTTGTTTGTTTGATCGATTTTGGAGAAGCAGGCTAGAGAGATGGGCTCTCAGACACACCTTCACCATAGGTAGATCAGATTCAAATGCATTCTTTTTTTTCGGTTGAGCAAGCAAGTCAGAGTCTTCTGGTTGATCGGAAGTGCTGTAATTTTTTCATCCGAGCACAGAACCATCAAACACAGAACCATCATACCATCGTGCCACAGGTCTTTTGATGAGGAATTTAGTTTTGTTGTTCGGTCGGGCGGGGCGATGTCTTGATCTTACATTGAAGGGGGTGCGACTCCCTGGCTGTGCTTGGGCTCAGCCCTGGCTGTGTTTCACGCTGCCTGCAGGTCACAATGATGTGGTCCTGAAGGGTTTCGAGAAGTACATCAAACTCATGGGCCTGACCGACGCGAAGACTCAGCTGTAGAACTGTTCATGGCCCGCAGCTTCGAGTTTGGCGTACCCCAACGGCAGGACTCTCAGAGCGGTCCATTTGTTTGGCGTGTGTTTGAATCATGTGGACGGCGGCTGCGCCCTTTTGTAGCCTGAGAACATGCTTTTTCAAAGAACGCCAACGATCCGCATTTTCATAGACCGAACTTGGTTCGTAGGTGTTTTTGTTCGGAGCCGTTTCATTTTGCACGTCGGGGTCTCCACGGTTCTTGGCTCGTTGGGCAAAAAGCCCAGCTGTGGCGACGAGGTTCGCGGACGAAAGCCCAGCTTGGGCTTGCCTGAAGATGGCGCAGAAGAGGAAAATGGGCCCAGGAAAATGCGCATCCGTGAGAGCAGCCATGAAGGGAAGTTTGAGAGGTTCTTCTGATCGTGATGCGTCCAAGCACTATGCCCATGCCCGAAAGGTGCACCGCTATGCTGGGAAGGATGATCTGGATGAAGAGGACGGCTATGGGTCAATGGGTCATGGTCCTGCAACATGTTCTTTTATCATGCATATGAACAACATAACATGTGTATATACACTGTATGTATATATAAATATATGCATAGCACACACACATATATATACACATGCATACATAACATATATATAGATATTGAAGTGTTGACCCCCTACCCAAATGATTTGATGTGTTTCTGCAGCTCACTGTTGCTCTTTGTGGACAAAATTTGGGAATGATCTAGAAGGACATGGGTGGGATATTGGTGTTTGCACGCGCAGGTGCATAGACTAAAGCGCGTGTAATGATTCAGACTCATGACCATGCATTGCGTCTTCAGCGGCAAGTTCTTTAATCTTGCAGATACCGACTTGGGCTTTTGATGTGTGCCCACCCCTATAGAGATGCATGCATTTTGATATTGACAACGAACACTGGGAAACTAGTCAGGGCTTTGCTGACTTGCACTATGTTCTTTCGAAAGGCTGGAGTCCTGCGTTCACAATTGAAGCGTTCATCATCAGAACAGCCCGCGTTGAATTTGGCTTCAGCCCCCATGTGAAGAGGACTTGGTCTGATCAAGTCAAAGCCTTTCTTTCACACGTTGAACTACGAGTCCAGCAACTTGTGGAAACATGCCAGGAGAATTCTCAACTTGTTTCACTCTTGAACATGAAGCCACCAGCAATGCTTTGGACCCTGCTTCATCTCGACCAAACACGGTTCAATACATCAGACTTGGGAATGAGTCCCTAACGCAACAAAACACACCAAGAACATTGAGCCCATGCTGGCCTGTTGTTCCCATCCACATCAATACTGCAATTATCAATTGGCACCGTAGATGAACACCAAAGGATCTTCAGCAACGGCCGTTCCAAATGCCTCCAAACCGTCAAAACGATCGACTTCTTAGGATACAGCCAGTCTCTCGGAGATCGGATTCTCTGGTTTTGCGGATCGGGTGGTGAGTTGTCCCCGAATCCCCCTTCTGGGGAACATTCGTGCATTTCGCCAGATAGCGACAGCTATGGGGTTCTTACTTCAGCCTAGCTATCTGGGTCTATGCTGGTTGATGTTTTTTCAGCCAAATCCAAGTCTCAAGAACTTGCATCATTGGATCGGAAAAAAAGAAACATGCCATCCTCGCCATGGGCATCGATCGGACGGGGCTGGCTGCCATCTTCGCATCCCTCCCACGAGGCGCTGGGCGGACTGGGTCGCATGCGGTGTGCGGACTGCGGCGTCTCCCACGAGGGTTTGAAGATACTGAGTCAGAAGAGGTTTGGGATGGGGACTTCTTTGAGGAGTGAACGATTTTCAGGAAGAGCCAGAGAGGACAGCACTGGAAAGTCTTTTTCCCCTAGCGGTGTGGTCACACTGGGGGTTCTTACAGTGAGGGTTGAGGCTGGGTGTTGATCGGTGGTGATCGAGGAGCTTGGCTAATTCGCTGAAGTGCATTTCGACTGCGCAGGCTCGCAGAATCTGCTGGGGCGGAGCGGGTGCTTTCGTCGACTGCGCTCTCGTTGTGGTGGCGTGCACGTTTATGGGAGTTGGTGGTCACTTTGTAGCGCTGCTTCAAGCTCAATGCCGTCGCTCGGATCGACCGAGAAAGGGGAAGCGACGGAAGGTCTTACTCTTCCGTTGAAGCGACGCTTCTGAAGCGGACAAGCCGATGAATGGTGGAAAGCATGAAGAAATGTTTGAAGCGGGGCGCCGCACAACTACGGACACCAAAAGGAGGAGACATATAGGAGGACGAGGAGGGAGCTCCAGCCAGACCCCGGTGACCCACAGTGGAAACTTGCCGTCAAGCGCCTGGGCGAGCGGCGACTGGGCTGCCGCTGCAGCAGGAACGTTGCTGCACTGAGTCTTCGGTTGCACCTTGAATCGAAGCGGGCCCCAATGTTCTTCCAACGCAAGCCCGGGGCTGCTCTGTCTTGGAGTTCCTCCCGGCCCTCTTCGACGAGCTCGCGTGGTGCCCGGGAGCGCATCCCAAAGCTCCTGTCTGTCGCCGACGGCGAGACGCGGCCTTGAAAATGTTCGCCATATACGTCTTTGACGGTTGACATAGGCGCGGCAGGCCGCTCCTTTGCTAGTTGGTTCGCGCCATGCTGCGTTTTTCCACCTCCACCAACCATAAACTTGTCGGGCGCAGAGGACGCACTGGCCTTTTGTTTGCGGTTGGTGCCACGCCACACGACCACAACTTGTAACCACAATCACGTTACCGCCACCACACCAACAGAACCACACTACCACTGCCACACTACAGTAGAACGCTACCACCCTACCACTACCACACTACCACTACCGCAGTACCACTACGACGCGACCACTACCACACTACCACTCTACCGCTACCACTACCACTACTACCACCACTACAGCTACCACCCACTCATCATTGTAATCTTCTGCGCATTGTTTGGGGTCTTTTGCTGGGATCATTTTTGAGTAGCAGCTGAGTTTCTTATAGTTGTCGGTGTTTCTGTGCTACTTCTTGATGAGTCCAGGCCTTTCAGGGTGAGACTTCTGTGTGCAAAACATGGTTGGAACACGAAAATTGCGCGCGAATGGGCCATGAATCTGTGATTAGGGGGTGTCCGATTACCAGTAAGAGTCGGCAACAGATATCGGTAAGGCCTTTGGGTACCATCACCATCAACTGTTTCTGGTCATGATCGGGTCGGTATACCGGTATACCCAATCTATGGCCAAATCCACGTGTCTGCTTTTCCCGTAGCAAGCGCTTGCCGAAAGAGTACGTCTTTGGAGGGAAACAGGAGTGATCCTTGAGGCGGGGTTCGGGGCGAGCCGTAATACAGTAAGGCCTTGAGCTAAGCCACAGAGATTGATCCTTTTGCTGGGTATTTTGGTGTAAGAGGTTGGTCCAGCCGACGTGTCCAGCTTTTGATCTGTTTTTCTGATTATTTTTCCCTCGAAGCTGACCCTGTATGAGCCAGGTAGTTTGTAAACAGCTCGGAGATGTCCTCCGACCCCAAGTTTGGTGGTGGAAATGTTGTGGAGACCTACACTCCTTACTCCTTCCCAAATCATGGAAGTGCAAGACCAGGTAGAGGAAAAAGGTCATCAAAGGGGCCATGTTCAACTTCCATGATTATTTCAAGGAGTGTACTCTGAAAGGCCGCTTTTGGGTGACTTGCAACTGGCAAGCAACTCCACAAATGGTCCATTTGCGACCAAAAGACTGGAGAGTCTTGTTCCAAACTAAGAACCCTTCCAGGGATTCCAGGGTTCCAGCCCGTTGAGAGCCTCTCATCCCAGCAGGACCACCGCAACGATTGCACATCTGTGAGCTTGGCAACCAGCGGATCACGAAGGCGGTTTTGGGGGTTGTTGCAGCCAATTGGGGGCTTCCAATTAGCTGCTAAGCTAGCTGCTAAGCTATACTTGTACGGGGGTTCTTACTTCTCAATGACTGGGTGTCATTTGTTGTGACTGGGTGTACCCACGACTCCCTGGCCCCAAAGGCTCAGACTGTTGGTTCATTCAGGCTCGCTCAGGCTGGGCGTTGACAGGCTAGCTGTGTCATCCAAGGACACAACCTCTGGCGTGGGCCCTCCTAGCAAACTGTAGAATCTAGCTGGGTGTGTATGTATAATGTATACATATAGGGAGACCGCCAAGCATTGTGTATAGAGACCGGTCTACTTCCGAACCTTCGTCGAACCGGGTGTTCAGTTCTCCCTATTTTAATACACGCCCAGCTAGCAGTGTAATGGTCGCATGTCTCCGCATTTGGCCTTTTTTGCTACAATTGTTCCTCCCGCAGAACTCCGCCCCCTCTGCCTTCCCGGCCTCATCTCGGTCCCAGGGAGCTAATCTCGGTCCCAGGGAGCTAATCTCGGTCCCAGGGAGCCTTGACGGTATTGACCTCCCATGGCTATGCGCCGGACCTTCGCGATTTGCTGAGCATCCTGCAGAGCTTGTCGTTGAGCCCGTCGCCGACCATCACCAGCGCCAAGAAGGCGTCGATGGGGGGGAGACCGAAGAGGGGCGGAGATGCAACCCCAAGTGCGTTCGATGTACCTGTAATCAGGGTGGGTTGCAAATTTCTCTTGACCAAATTGCAAACTAGATTTGTCGATCAATTGAACGGTGCCTTTGGGCTTGGTTTGGAATTTCTGTGTTGTAAAACATGGCTCATTCTTTCGACGTGTTCGATGTGTGTCTTTCACCACATCCCCTTCCAAGAAGCTCCCTCCCTCCCCCCACCTCTCGAACTCTTTTGCCCCCTCACTCCCCACCGGGCCTCCAGGTCTTCGAGCGCTTGGGCTACCGCCACACCTCGCTCGACATCAACGGCCGCGACGGCGCGCAGGTCGTCGACCTGTCGAGGCGATCCGAACCGACGGGGATCTGAACGTGGCGACGCTGGAGTAGGGTACGGACCGGTCCGCGAGCACCTACAATGAATCATTGGTTTTTTTCTACAATCTATTTTCAATATATATATATATATAACTAACAGTGTCTGCATTTTTTCTGCGTAGCTGAGAGGGTACGACTGGATCGCTTGTTTGGGCGAGGTGGCTGCGGAGCGGTGTTGGACAAGGGAGTGGTTTTGAGTCTTGAGGTGATCCCAGAAGTGATGATTTTGTAAGGATTGGAAGATGATTGGATGGTAGGTAGCCCTACTAGGGGTGGCTTCGGAAGACGGCGGTGGAGGTGTGGTGGTTTCGGCGGGGCTGGCGGCTGGCGGTGTGTCTGTGCTTGTTTCGCTGCTGCCCACTGGAGGCAGCGAAACGTATTGGATGCTTTCCAAGTTCTTCAAGCTGAATGACCCTACCCGAGTTGCCCAAAGGCATGACATGCTACCCTTTGGACACCATGTGCTACCATAGAATCTAGAAGGGTCTGGTAGGGTCTTATCAGGGTCCTCGTCTGGGGGCGCGAAACATCTCGTCTGCGCGAAACATCGCCCACCTGACCCGTCTGCCCTGGTTTCAGCCTGAAAACGGTGCGACTCCCTGACTCCCTCTCGGAATTTCAGGCATCTGAAGGAATCTGTGAAGATCAAACAGAGGTTAAGTGACCGTAGATAGGGGTACCCATAGGATAGTCTATAGGGTTCTTCAACCTCTGCTGGATTCCCTTACCCCTCGCCTGCGCTAGGCCCTTGAACGTTTCGCTTCTGAGCAGCTGTGACGTCGTCACGAATTTCGGCACCACCGAGCATGTGGGCGTCGCAGCCTCAGCTTCTGGTTCCTTCGGTTCGTTCGAACTCGCTTCCCAACCCGAAGACCTGAAGGCACCCGAACCGGGTCGGGATGTGAGAACATACATCGACTGACCGGGAAGGGCAAGCCATTTTGACCCATGGATTGACGTTGCGAGTCGGTTCCATCAGAAAGAACGCCTTCCTTTTTTCCTCGTGTCTCAATCCGAAGAAGGAATTCGGGCGAAATATCTTCGGTTCAGCACGCCTTATATGCGGCACCGAACACTTCTTTCCTTGGGACTGCAGGAGGGTGAATATATCAATGCGCTTGCGGGCTTTGAGCTTTTGGATCTATGGAGCTCGCAGTATCAGGCCTGGGGGTGGTGTTCCGCACGGTTTCGTCGAGACCCTGCGTGTTTATATATATGTTTGTTTCTATTGTCCTTTCCTCCTAGTAGCATCCTTGCTCCTGATGCCCTTTGTTACCAGTAGCTTCTTGTTCCGTTCGTAGCGATGCCAGGAGCTACTATACTCGTCGCGTTTTTTGCTGGTCCTTGGAGCTATTTCTTTAGCAACTTGAATTGCGGCCTGACCTGGAAGCAGTCTGTGGTGGTTCACCGGTCCCTTTGCAGTGGAAGAAGTCGCACCGCGCTTCGCTACCGGTCACCGGTCAACCGTGGTCCACGGAGGCCGTCCAAAGGAGGACGGAACCGGTCCAGCTTGCGGCCGGTTGGAGGTTGAAGGGGTTGAATGTTTGATGAATTGTGTTGGACCACCATGGACCATCTTCAGGAGCTTTTCAGGATGGCCGGGGTGGCTGTTCTTGGACCATCTTCAAGGCTTTTCAGGATTGACCATGCTCACTGAAAAAGACAGAACGAAGAACGCCCTCTGCACAGCCGCCGGGGATCTGCGCAGTGGCTTTGGTTCTTTGGCCGGCTTTGTAGAAATCTCAAATAGCAGCGATTCAGTTCGCCTCCACCCGCGTTCCATGGTGTGTCACAGGCTGTGGACAGTCAGGCTTTATTCGTGCCAGTGTATGGCAAGCCAACTTGCTTGCCAAGCAGGTTTGACCCATCCAAGATGGTTTGCTCTCTGCATCCAAGATGGTCTTGTTCAATTGTTTACCCGATCCTGGGACCACCCCACCTGTCGGAGTTGCACACCCTGCACTCCAGCACTGGAGCCCGAAGCGGCACGCTTCACACGGGCCACGTGTCGTCCTCTTGAAAACCCCGGCCGATCCGTGGATGGCCACGCCATGGCAACGGACTCGGAGGACCATGTTCATCAGTTCAAGTTCATCCATTTTCTACCCCTTTTCCAAACAGGTGGTGGTGCCAGCACTTCACATGATGATTTCAGGGAGTGATCCGGGAGTTACATTCCGGAATGGAAGCGTTAGCTGTCTCTCTGTCACTTTAGCCGGCACAACAAAAGCGCCTGGCTCACATGTCAATGTGCAGTCCATGCGACGGGCGAGGAATTCCAAGCACTGTGCCAGCAACAAGATACTTTATGTCTGCGTCTGCACGCAAACATGCTAGGGAACCTCAGAAACATCAGCATATGTTGACCCGTGTGTGATTCACCATCTGGGTTCTTTGGTCAGAAGGATATCCAAGCACTTGAAATGCCTGCAATGATATGAATCTATATCACAGCACAAGACCTTGAGCGCTGTATGACCATAGTGTGCAAGCTGGGCGACAGCTAAGAGATGGACACATCGATCTGCAGACCGTTTTTTCCCACACGAACTGGATCTACATGGAAAGACAGTGGGCCACTGTTCTTGGGTCCTTTGGATGATGAAACAATGAGGCAGCGCTTTTTCTCTGAATCGCTAGAGCACACTTCACATCTCTTTCGGATTCGCGCAATAGGTTCCACGTGTGAGTTTTAGGTCGTAGTTTGAGTTGATGCCTGGAAAAAACCGCCTCCACCTGGAGGCCTTTCGCAACATACACCAGCTGCTGCGAGGAGACTGGCGCACGGGTGGATCCAGTTGGCTAGCTATCGGGAGTGATGAAGTGACGCTATCGGGTTGGAAGGACCAGGGTCCCGAAGGTGATGGTCAGAGTCACTTAACAGAAGCTGCCAACCTGCTTTGGTTCCTTAATCTGATTTCTGACCCCAGCTAGTGTGGTTGAAGTGACTTCTGACCCTACCCTTTCACCTGGCAATATGGGACGTGTGCACGCATCTATATATCCAATCCAAGTAAGTAAGTACCAGGTCAGTACCGGGTAGGTGGGTCCTCATCCCATCATCTCATTTTCAAACCACACCACACCGCGCCAATCACTTGGCCCCCTTCCCACGAATCCAACATCGGCACCTCGCTTCCGGCATTCTGCATGGATGACGAACGCCACCAAATCGGCACCAAATCGCAAAGGGAAAGCCAATTGGACTTCGTTTGTTATGATGAGACCTAACCCCACATCACACCACCATGTGGCTTCCAATTTCGGGCATGGTCTTCGGCCAGGGAGACGGCCCGTTCTTCTTCCCATCGGAGCATCGGCTCCAGGAGACGGCCTTATCATCCACATGGTGCCGGCGGCAGGGTGTTGGCCCCGCCATGGCGCCGTGGAGTACGAGCCGCAGTTCTTCCAGGCCCTCGCAGGCCATGGGGACCGCTGGGAAGAAGACGTTGGAAAGAAGGTCCAAGAGGAAGGGAAGGGAAGAAAACCGCTGAAAACCGAAAGAAGACGGTGGGTGGTGGGAAGAAGTCTGTTTGTTCATCATTATTGGCTTCCTTTGACATTTATCATATATATTTATATAAAATATAGAGTATAAAATAATGTGTATTCATCATATATACAGATATATGATTTGGTCTAAGATGTTTGAGATGGATTGAATCTTCAGCCAGAACCATCTGCACTCGTTACTTCGTGCCACAGCCAAATTGAGCCATTGCTCAGCCGAGAAAAACATCATCAAATATTCCAAGTTAGGCAAACTTGAACATGAGATCGGATTCACACCACAACTTTTAGATTTTTTTGTTCCTCCCCAAGATGGTGCACTCCGACTACGGACGTAGCAGAGATGAACCAGGTGCAGCAGGCTATGAGATCTTGAACCTCTCACTTCATCGTCCATCGTATTACTGGTCACCCGCAGAAGAGCGCTTCTTCTGGGACCTTCTGCACGAACTGCTGGCGCGTTGCACGGCAGACAAGCCAGAGGGGGCTGGGAGAGACGTGAGAAATCTTGGATAATTTTGGACTGCAACATTCTATCTTTATCGACCAAGCACTAGAAGTGCACTGGTGTGATATGAACCAGATCACTAGTGGTGGGGCCTCCGTGTGCGAGAAAAAAGCACGTTTCCTCTGCACAAGCCTTCCAATGGCCCCGCCCTTTCCTGCCGGGAACACAGGTGTTGTTGGATTTGATTTTCAATGAAGTTTCAAGCCAGCGTGCACAGCCCAATGGAAGGCTTCAAAGTCAAAAAACAGACCAATAACAAAGTTTTCCACCGTTTTAGGGACGTGTTTTGTAGGCGACTCTGTGCATCCAGGCGAATCCTTGACATTGCCTGAGTCCATTGTGCCGGAGATGGTGTCCATCATGCCACATCTCGAGCAGGCGGCTTTCGGAAGATGTGCAGATCAGGGGGAGCTCCACAAAGACATCCGCTCAAAGAGGGCAAGAAACATCATTGTCCGAATGGCTGTCCAATAACATAAAGCCAGGAGCAATGAGCAGTGATCCCAAACTAGGAACTTGCTGATTGGATGAGTTCTCTGTTTCTTTTCTCACAGAACTACAGCGTGTAACAGTCTACCCTGGCTAGGCTAGCCAGTAGCACTCTGCCTCTCGATCCGAAGACTGCGACCTTTTTTGGAAGGAACACACCAACAGCAACGTGCTTCGAAAAGCCCCTCATGCACCAACGTGCTACTTGGCATTCCCCCTACAAAACCCAAAGAAACAACAACGAACCATAACGAACCTCCATGGTGTTCTTTCGCGGAGGCCAAGCAAGCCAACGTGCTGGCCGTCTTCCGCCGCGGACCCGGTTCTCGCGGACCCAGTTCTCGCGACTGGGCGGTGGCCGAGGAGCGGTTTCAGCGGCTCCCCGGACTGCACTGGAAGGCCACGGCGGCTCTGGGGCCGTGCCTTCTCTCCTCCAAGCTGCAAGTGTCCAGAGCCTGTGAAGAGGCGCAAGATGCCTGGAGGGGATGGGTGAAGAGGCCCTTCCATGGTGGAGGATTCGGAGCTGGGTCCTTCACGTAGAGTCCTTCAGGTGGGTGATGTGTGACACGCGAGGATTGCCTGGGCTCAGTGAAACACGTGAGGCAGTTCTGGGTCGAAGTTCCGTTGCCAAACAGCTTCTGTGGTGATGGAAAAGGGAAAGGAACAATGGAAGAGGCGAAATCTACAACAGCTGCATTTGTCCTAGGTATGCAAGGGCCTTTCTGAACGGTCACTCGTTCCTTTCTTCTTGGCATGTTTTTGGCATGTTCTTCCCTTCCAGTGCTTTGTTTTCAGATGGGTGAGGCTTTTCCGAAACGCCCCAGAACAGCGGGTTCACCCAGCCCCTTCCACCGGCCGAAGGGGTGCCTCGCACGAGGCGATGGCCGAGACGGGGTCCTGTTCGATGCGTTGACGCCGACTGACGCCCCAAAGCTGCCAAAGCGAGTGAAGCCGCGCATGGTTCGTTGGTCGCCCCGACTGCGAGGAAAACCCCGTTGAACAAAAGCCGCTGGATTGGAGGATCGCGCCAGGATTGGAGAGCCAAGCTTGGTGTGCTTCTGGGTTTCTTGTTTTCAAGAGGGAGCTCAGACTTGAGCCGCAACCATGGTACCTCCAATCCATGCTTTGAGAGGGATTGGTAGGGATTCTCTACGCTTTCGCCATAGCTCCCTTTGGAGTTACACTCTAACGAACACATCACATGGAAGTGGACCATGCCATCCCATGGTCCCTTTACGAAGACTACTTGACTACAGAACAGAACAGGTTCTCTTTTTTGCCACTTCCATGTGATGTGTTCGGAGTTGGCCGGGTCTTCTGTTCCTTTCTGGTTCCGGTCGGACCATGCCTTCCACTCGGACCACGGGTCCGGCCGGCATCGTTCAGGAGACGCGTTCGGGAGCTGAGGACGCCGCGCAGGCGGGGTGCCGCGTTCGGGAACAGGAGAAGTTGAAAGCATCGCCGATGGCCAAAGAGGATGGCCTGATGTCTGTGTTAACAGGTGGATGGCCGAAGCATGCGCAGCCGCGTTGGTTCAGGCGTGGAGTGTTTTTGGAGCTTTCTCTGGACACAATGGGCATGCTTCTAGGACGAGCAAGTTTTCACCGAGTGCTCCAATGCCGGGCTTTTAGACTTTTCGTGCATGTTGGCAATGGGGCATGAGTGCAGTGGTTTAGGCGCCAAACCCTCAGGGTGCCAGCGGCCGTGAATAGTGCTACGTAGAGCCGCAGGTTCGCATGTGGCTGTGTGTGAGACGTGGGGTTCTTACAATGATCAGTTGGCGGGGCAAAGCAGTGAAGAGCCTTGGGGATATTGTGGTGGGCAGTGTTTGGGGCTGGGGTTGTCGTGTGGCGTTGCAGCTCTTTCTGTGTCTCAGCGCCAGCTTTGGCCCACGCTGACCACGTCTACAGCCACGCCATGTTTGGCTTGGCTTTTGGTGCAGTTGTGAACTTGTGAAGTTCGCGCCGGCTGTTGCAGCTGAGAACGACGTGGTCAGGTCGAAATCGCAACGTGCGAAGTCGTGGCGAGTGATGTGGGGACTTCGGCCCTTCGCGAGCCGCTGAGACCGGAGATGTGAGTCACCTGGGCGTGGCTTTGGTGGTGTAGCTTGCTGCTCAGTGCTTGCTGCCGGCGATGCAGACATGCAGCGCGGGAGGCGCGTTTTGTGACGCGCGCGGGCGACAAACGCATACTTTTGCGGCCCCACGGCTATAGGTGGTGTTTCAGTGGTGACAGAAGCGTGCTGCCACCTGCATGCGCATTCGCGCATTCCAGCAGTGTAGCGAGGGAGAGCTACAGCCTCAGAGCACAGTCCGGCTAATGCTTGGCAATTCAAAATTCGACCAAGGGGTTGAAGACTTCTCCCCAGTTGTTGAAGCTAGGGCGGCGCCCATCGCAAAGAAAGAACATTTGCATTCTCGGTCGGTCCGTTCTCCTTCTGGCCAAGGCTTGGCTGGAATTCATTGGACTTGATTCTTTAGACCTGGACCCAGGGTTGTAGCCTCATTCAAGAGGCCAGGAGGTCCTGAAGTCAAGCCCAAAGTTCGGCATCACTTCTCACCCAATTCATTTCAACCGCCATCACCAGCCATCCCCAAGTTCGAATTGGGTCGGTTCCCACCCCATCGCACTGCTTTCCGGGTGGACCGCGCTCGGTTCCCACCGGTTCCCTCTCAGGTGGAGCCAGAACCCAAGCGTCGCCGGAGCTCGGGTCCCGGAGGTGTGGGGCTGGCGGGCTGGGTTTGCCATGGGGCAACCGTTCAACGCGTTGAAATACATATATGTATATATATATATATATGCACATAAATAAACAAAACATAAATATATTTTTGTGTTTTCATTCTTTTGCTGTTTTGGTTGGGCGGGAGGATCGGAAGTGAACATAGGTCAATGGTGGTTAGTGTAGGTCATAAGGTCAGACCAGGTGACAAGGAACACATGTCTTGAAAGAGACCTGACCATGGGCAAGACGGTTCTGGTTGGATGTTGGTCGACCAGAGGTTCCACTTGCAGGGCCGTCAGGTTGAGCAGCTCACCCAGGATGCGCTACTAGTGTACAAACCGGTTGACTCATGCACCTTGTAGGAAACCTCGAAAGACTGGGCTGCGTTCTGATCTTTTCACCGACACGAGGGCCTTTTTTAGACTGGCCTCACCGACACGAGGGTCTTTTTTCAGCGATGGCTTCCAAGGCCTGTCTGAGATTCTGCAGGCGGGGGATGGGCAGGAGAGACGAGGGCCGACGGGCCGACGACTCGGAGCTTGACCATGGGGGGTGTTGGAAGATAGGGAGAGCTCGCAGGCAACGGCCCTATGGAAGAAGCAACATAGACCAGTCGACCCAGACAGAGGCAAGAATGGGTCGTCTCCGTTGTCTCCCGATGAAAATGCACATCCATGTTTCAAGAGAGGAATCCAGCACAGCAAAACCATTCCATGCCATGCACTCTGTCTCTTCTCTGGAGCACCCAAGTACTCACTACACTCAGGGTCTAGTCTTGTCAAAGAACTGCCTGTGGTAGCAGCCTGGTCACATTTGAGCCCCTTCTTGGACTCTGCCTCTCTTTTTCTTTTATTTTTTCTTTCTTCTTTCTTCTCTCTCTCTCTCATTGTGTGGTCCTTTTGTTTTCTTTTAGTGACCAGGCAATCTCGCGCCACCAACTGGGACCAACGGCTTGACCGTCGCGTCGTGAACGCCGGTTTTCCACCAACTGGGGGCAATGCCCAAGCCCTGGTCGTCTCCTTCGGCGCGAAGAAATCGACGCTCCCTGGAATCATCATCGTTTTGTGGAGGAAAAAGAACCACCTGCCTGTTTGGTGTTCGGATTTTTCACATGGTGATCCGAGTCATCCACCATGCATTTGGATGAACGGAAATTCGGAGTGTGGTCCAAATCTCGCTCGCTGACGACGCGCTTTTGGCCGAATGCAGGGATGCTCAGGGTTAACTGGGCTGCCCAAGTCCGGCCATTGGTCTTTCCGACACCTTTTTTCTCAAAAGCTACCTTTCTTTTGTCTCTATTTTTGAGGATGTAGTTCTCGTATTTTCTCTAAACCTCCTGAAAAGAAGTATCCATAGTTTCATTGTCTTTCCGTTTTTTCAAGCGCAGGCACAGAAGCGTCAAAGCCTGGGGCGGCCCGGGCGAGTTGAGGCCGAGAAAGGGCAGATGAAAGGGAGGTGATCGACTGGAAAGGACCTGTGTGTTCGCTTCTCGAAGCGATCCCGTCCCACGGATTTTCTATTAGGACCATCCTGTCTGGGTGTCTTGTCTGAACAGCTCTAAGTAGTGGAATTAGGGAACCAGGGTACCCAGACAAGATGGTTGTATGTACACCCGGGAAGAGACCTGCATGGAACCTGATGGCATGGATAAACCAGTGGTTTTCAGAAACCGTGTTAATCGTTATCTCCCTTAAATGTCTCCATTACTTTCTGATTTAGGCAGTGTCTGTCCTGTTTCGTTTGTTCGTGACTAGATAGAATTTAGATGTTTGTCGCTGTTTATCAATTCTTTTTGTGGGGAAGTGAAGTTGACTTTGGTAATCTGATGCAATCTGGCCTCTCAGGTCTCAACAGCGACAGCTTATGACAGCCGTCTATCAATTTCGACCTTCTGGAAATATACTATCAATTTAAGTGTCCTAGAATAGATGCTAGACTCTTCATTCCCAGTGTGTCAAAACCACAGAACCATCCTCCCCTCCTCCCCTCCGCGCCAGGCCAAGCGTGTCACCAAGGCCATGTCGAAGTGCCAGAAGTCGTGCTTTCACCATGAAAAGCCTCAGAAACTGCTTGGTTTGAAAGGAGGAGTAGCCTCCAGATGGAGCGCCACGCCAACCTCCAGAGTCCCAACGCCGGTTCGCCGAACCCAACGAACCGTCCTTTCCGCTGAACGTGCTTGGAGGCGGAGCCGCGGCCGCACGCGGAGGCGACGGCAGCGAAGGCCCACTCCCCAAAGCAGAACTTGGTGGTGTTTAAACCTTCCGCTTCTAGGATACAGGTCACTAGGTCAATTGTGAGAACAAGAACGCACTTCTTAAAACAGTGTTGGAATCTCACACTCTGCTTTTAACAGCTCAGCTCATGTTGAGACACATTGGTCGTTCCGCCCGATTCCAGTGTCTGACCAAGACGAGCCATGTGTGCATCAGTGTGCACCAACACTCCGGCGACGGAGGGCCATCAATACTCCGTTCGTAGCGATGCCCTTTGTTAGTGTCAGGGGCCCTTGATGTCTGGACCTTCTTTCGGAACATGGAGCTCATGGAGCTCTAGACTTGGTTCGACTTATTTCTTGGGGATTTCTCTTTCAATCTCGTTCGCACCGTAACGCAACTACTTGGGCTGTGGCGCCACGTCCGGCAGGTCGGCAGCTGGGGCTTGCCGGAGCACTCCATGCCGCCAAGCCGGGCAGGTAGTGAAGGCAAGAATCAACACCGTGAACTTCGGCGTAGCGGCGTAGCTTCCTGGATGGCATGGCCCAAAGGAAGACCATTTTTCTTCACCAAGGGTTTGTCCACTTCCAGGATTGTTGCAGGGAGATCAGGGAGGGAAATATATTGCGAGGCCCTTCCGCGTAAAGGCAAACCTTTCTGCAGTGTTGAAACAAAATCCAAATTCATTCAAATGAGTTTCCAAGAACTTCAAGTTGAGTTTTGGAAACCACACACGGACATCAAAAGGCTTTTCATTTCCACGCTGGTTCCACCTGCCTTTCCAGGGCCAAAGCCATCAACGGAGGCAGGGAAGCATTTTGTTTCCAGGGTAGGGAAGTGCATGGAACGCTTATTTAGAAACATTACCATTCTGCAGCAGTTCTTCTTGGAGTTGTTTCTTTACATGAAAACATGGGCCCATGCGGGAAGTGCCGTGACACAGGGCAAGACTGCGCACAACTACTCAATACAAAA